GAAATCGTTGATGAAGAATACCGCTTGGTTAAATCCCACGGCATCGTTTTACGCTCCTGATGTTTCCTCAAGTGTGCACGTGGTTACCAAAACAGGTAAGGTCGAGAAGAGTTTGATTTGCTTACTGAGGTTGAAGCATTGTTATAGGAACGAAGACTTGGATTGCATGGCTTTTTTGCAGCTAGGCCTAAGGGTCCTTTTTTGGCCTTTTTCCAGGGTTTTTTTGATGTTTCGTTAAAACAATTTTCTCTCCTTCCTTTCCTTAACGGTCTCTTCCGCGGTGCTCTTCTCTGCCTTTTTTCCATTCTTCAACTTTCACTCTCACCAACAACTAACATAATTTTCGCTCTTGCCTTTCCTTCTCTTCTCCACTTTCCTGTTCCTTCTCTTCTCTTCATTATTTTCACTGAAAGCTTCTCCTGTTTACTCCATTTTCAAACAGGTTGTGGCGGCAACATAACTTCACCAGCAGGAGAACTAACACATTCCAGTTATCCACTCGACATCCAGGGTACAGTGCGATGTACTTGGAAAATCTCCCTCGAACAAGGAACACAAGTATCACTATTATTCAACTTCCTTTCACTCGATGCTAGTCTTGGTTGTACGAAGGATTCCTTAGAGATCTGGGATGGCGAGGGAAGCTCAAAGACTTCGTTGAAAAGATATTGTGGTAGTCTTGAAAAACCCGAGAGGTTGGTGTCGAAGACGAACCAAGTTGACGTTGTGTTGCAATCAAATTCGTCGTCGTCTGGTAGAGGTTTTCTTGTCACTTATATGAATTTCACAGGTATAGTAGGTCCATATATCACCACACCACTTGGTTTGCAAACATGGATGGTTTAAAAAAGCCAGTGTCTCTTCCATTACAAAACATTGCAATTTTTGCAACAATTTGCTACCTTTTTTAGGCTGCAGTCAAAATGTCACAAGCCTCACTGGTTTGATACAGACACCCCACTACCCTGAAGATTATCCAAATAACATCCAATGCACATACTCCATAAGGGTACCAACTGACTATCAAATAGCGCTTTCGCTGGAATTCCTCGATCTGGCATATTCGGCTGGCTGCGGCCAAGATGTCCTTGAGATTTGGGACGAAGAGGACGAATCCTCTGTCCCTATTGGTCGGTACTGCGGATATCTGTTTGGCCAATGGGTGCGCTCCAAAGGCAGTGATTTGACACTAAAGTTCAAGTCTGATACTTCGAAAACTCGTCGTGGGTTTCAGCTTAAATACTACGCAATCAAATCAGGTACATACCTGCTAATTTTCAAATGCTATTAGCCAGAGCGGAATTCAATTATTACGGATATTTCTTTGTTGTATCTACAGTTTGTAATTCTACCCACAATGCAACACAAGGGTCAATCGCTTCACCTGAACAAGCAAACTCCACTTGCTATTGGACAATCAACAGCCAACCAGGACACGTGATATCCCTGCGCTTTGTTCGGTTTTTCCTCAAGTATTCAGAAGGGTGCACACTTGATTACCTCGTGATCAGAGAAGGAGAGTACGTGATTGSTCGATATTGTGGCTATCAAAAAGGGGAATTTCTCTACTCGAAGACCAATTCCATCACCTTGGAATATGTGGCTAAAAGTGTCGCCGATGAAGTCGGGTTTCAAATTCAGTACGAAGCTCTTGTCCCTCCAGGTCAGTATGGATCATGAATATATTTTATCAGAAGCATAGAATTTGTTGTGATGCAAATAGACGCCTTTACATTGAGCACATTACTTTAACACTACAAAATTCTTCTGATTAACCTTCTTATTTAAGGTTTCATCTTCTATAATATCATGTACAGTTCTCAATTAACGAAGATAATTGATACTCATTGGGGTGAGAATTAATCAGAGATGGGAAAACATCCCATAGAAAATAAAAGGAGTTCACTCGGTTGGCACTTACAGAATGGGACACCACTTTTGAGAATCCTGCAAAGTTTCCTTCCCAGTCTCTTACTCCCTCTCTCTCCTTCCCTTAGTAAGGATCATAGCTACAAAATCACTCAAAAACATTCTATTTAGGCACAAGGCGTTCCAACAATAGCTTCACTCATGACTTTATCCTTCGGAGACTACCAAGTTACTATACTTACTATACTCACACTATACTATAATCTATGTTTCAAGCTTGAACAATTTTTTCATTGCAGACTGCGGTGGGTATTTGAATAGTTCAAGAGGCTCTTTCCAGTCTCCTCTCTTCCCAGACAACTATCCAGGGAACGTGGGATGCGCATGGCAAATAGAGCAGTTACCTGGTCAAGTGATCGATCTCGTGTTGGACGACTTTGACCTCGAGTTCTCGATCAATTGCACGAAAGACTATCTCGAGGTGTTTGACGGTCCAGACAATGTTTCTGTATCCCTTGGGAGGTACTGTGGGGCTAAAAGACCCGATAGTCACGTGACGTCTTCTGGTAACATGGTATTCGTGGTGTTCGTAGCTGATGGTAGTAGATCAAGTAAAGGGTTTACTGTCAGCTATACAGGCATCAAATCAGGTGGGTATGTTTAGATGACATTAGGCCTGATTGACAGAACAACTGACAATAAACTGATCCACCACCCCGAACGACCGACTGACGAGTTGACTGACCGACTGACTGACTGAACGACCTACCGACTAACTGTCGACTGAATGCAAAGCTAACTCATCGACCGTTTGACTGAACGACTGACCGAACGACCGACCGATCGACTTAGTGACTGACAAGTCGACGGACTGTCCAACCAATAGTCAAAATGACTCACTCACTCACTCACTTCCATCGTCATTAAAACGGTTTCTCTTCGATTTCCAGATTGTCCACAAAACCTTACAAACACCACTGGAAAGTTCGAGTCTCCGAACTATCCCGATTTTTACCCGAAAAACTACGACTGTTACTGGCAGATCTCGTATGCTCTCGGCTATCAGATCTACCTTACGTTCAAATACTTTGACCTAGAGTATACACCAAATTGTATGGGAGATTACGTTGAGATCCAAGACGGTACTTTTGAGAACGCCACCTCGAGGGGAAAGTTCTGTGGGTACCTGGTTAAGAGGTATCCTCTGGTATCGATCAAGAATAATTTACTTATCAAGTTTCATACAGACGATGAGCGTGCGAGCAGAGGTTTTGCGTTCACGTACGAAGTTGATGGTACAGGTAACTGAATGACCACATAACAGAGGCAGAGGGGAGGGGAGGGGGCGGGTGGCAGGTGAAAATTTGAAATGTCCAGAATAATTCTTAACACCCCCCTTAAAGTCAAGCAAAAAATACGATCCCCCCCTAAACAAGGCTTGTAGCTTCTTCCAAAAATTGTCCATCCCCCTATTTTTCTGATAAAACATTGTCCATTCCCCCCTTGTTCCTACCTAAAGTTTCCCGATCCTCTCTCAATTTCACCTGCCCCCACCCCCCTCTATTGTCATTAATTGACTTTCATTGTCTCTTCTAGACTACCCACCCCCACCGCGCACCCCAACGTCAAATGAAATCAAACAAGCCGTCGAAATGGTGTTTTACAACCTGACCACCTCCGAGGTGAGAAAATCTAAACGAAAGGACGACAATGCGACTGTATATGATAAACGTTAACAAGGGCCTTCTGCCAAATACCAAATACTGAAAAAATACTCATCAGTCAATAGGGTAGGGTAGAATAGATTAGAGTCGGGTACAGGGCAGAGTACGGCAGATCAGTATAGGTAGGGAAGGGCACGTAGTGTAGGTAGGGCAGGGTAGTGTAGATTTGGGTAAGTTAGAATAAGGGAGGGTAGGGTAGGCACTACGGGAAGGGCAGGGTAGGTTAGTGTAGGTCAGAATAAGGTAGGGCAAGGTAGTGTAGAATATGGTAGGATAAAATAAAGCAAGGAAAGACGGGCAGGGCAGGGCAAGGCATGGTAGGTTAGGGTAGGGCAGGGTAAGGTAGGGCAAGGTAGTATAGAATA